AATCAGCTAATTTTGGCTTCAAGAAGCTACCACTGCACTAGATAAGATATAGACCTGATTTCAACACCCTGAAATTTACTAGAAGCAACTCAATCTTATCCTTGATTCTCATTTTGATACTACCTTTAGTAGATACCAGGTGAATTTCCAAGCAAAGCTTGTTAACCTAAAAAGGAAGAAATAAAGTTTGTTACAAGCCAATTCAGATATGATAAACTGTAAAATGGAACACTACACTTCTGATTACATGTCTCACAAAAAGCCCAACTTGCCTTTTTGTATAATTAAGAACAATCATGGCATGTCAATAACAAATTTTGATTTTAATTTTTTAATCTCTTTGGCTGTGATGCCAAAACCAAAATAACCTATTAGATGTGCCCACTTTACTAACTTCTTGCAAAATGGCATATTAACTGTAATATTGACAAAAAAAAGTGATCACAGGCATTTTAATTTATATATTATATATATATATATTATTAGCTAGTCTTTATAGGAACAGGTGTAGCTAAGTTGGCAAGAGTACACTTTCTGCTAAGGGAGAGATCCATAGTTCAATAGACCCTTTTCGAGTTCCAAATTAGCGCTGTGTTCCTTGATTACAAACTCATTTGCTCAGGCTAAGCCTCAAATCAGTGTCTAAATACTCGCAAATACCAACGGTAAAGTAAAGAATGCACAAGTTCAACAATACGAACACTTCGAAACTTGACGGACCTTGACTGGAAAACGTGAATATTCTTCACAAAATCGAGGCTTAGCCTGAGCAAATGAGTCTGTAATCAAGAAACACAGCAGTAATTTGGAACTCGAAAAGGGTCTATTCCACATGATCTCACCCACTTGTTTCGACTTCTCTCTAATCCATGCAACTTTAGCTTTAACAGCCTGCATAGTGGAACTAAAGGGATTGTTATTTGCCAGTGGGTGTGGGGAGGGGCTGTGGGGGAACAAAGAGGCTTCCCTTCCGCCACAGCTCCCCCTCCCCGAATCCCACTCCCTTTTGGAATGCTATGCAGTCTACAGCTTTGTGTACTCTTAAAATCGAGCTCTGATGAAGAGATGGGGGTAAAGTGCTTGCCGTCTGCTCCAAGGAAATTTAACCAGCTATTAGCTGAAGGAACACTGACATTGAATAAGAATTGAATTTAGTCTCTTATACATAATTTAATAACCCTTACTCTCTAAAAAAAATGAAAAATGATTTTTAAAATGTTAGCTATTAACTATTAACTATTTTGCTTACCACACTTGTTTAATTGGATTGCCACAACAATAATTATAATTATAATAATTACTACAGCAACAATCAGTCCGATGAGAATTCCCCTTTTCTGCACTTCGGTGAAAGGTTTCTTTTCTGCAAGGATTCAAAATTGAATACGTGTAAATTAAGAAACAAAACCACAGTCTGTGAATCAAGCCAGGAGGAGATAGGGATTGCTGAAGTTTATGCAATACTCTATTGTCCTCAATTCATTCAATTTGACATGCATAAAATAATATAATTACATAATCAGAACTGTACTATATCTGGGTGTCACTTTTACCATCTCAAGACAACTGCTATGATATAGTGAGAGCAAGCCAGTACAAACACAACAGTTCTCTTAGTAGAGCAAAATAGTAAAAAGGCAAGATTACAATATACTGCACACTTTTAAAATTAGACTTCAGCATTGACAGCCTGTGTAATGGCTAAAAATGGATGGGGATTTGGGGGTGGAAGCTGTTGAGGGTTGGGGAAAAGGGGGATTGGGGAGAGGGGAGAGGGGAGAGGCTTCCCTTCTTCCCAACCCCCCTACCCCAAAAATCCCTATCCCCTTTGGACTACTTCACAGGCTACAGCTCTGCATACTCTTAAAATCGAGCTCTGATGGAGAGAGGAGGGTAAAGTGCACACCGTCTTCTCCCAGGAAAACCAGCTACTAGCTGACAGAACACTGACATTGAATAAGGATTGTAGTTTCTCATTAAATAATTTCATAGCCCTTAAAATCTAAAGAAAATGCAATGATAATAAAAAAAGTTAGCTATATCTACTGTATTTTGCTTACCGAACTTTATCTTATAGATTACAAAAGCAATCACAGCTACTATAATCAATACAGCAAGAATAGCTCCAATGATAATTCCTGCCAGCGCTCTAGAGGTAAAACATTTCTCTTCTAGAAGGATTCAAAATTTAATGAATGTAATTAAATTAAGAAACAAAAACACAGTGAATTAAGGGGAGTTCAATATAAGGTAAACTGATGGTAGATGGGATTGCTGACTATAGTTAAAGACCATGCCCAGGTACTCGTGTCCACAACAGTAATGTGAAAGAAATAATTCCCATTTCTTTAAGTCTGTGTCAAGCTTTAAACCGTTTTCTCATTATCCGCCTGCTGACACGGTCCAGTTTCCTGGGACCACTAAACAACGATTACAAAATAAATAAAAATAAATATGTTATTTACCATCATGAAGTCAGTGAGGATAGGGAAAAACTGTGCCCCTGATTTGGAAAAAGGAGCGCAACCTACAGGTACTGTAACAGCCTCGGTCCATACATTCATTCAAGACCTCAGGCACAGTTTTTCCCTATCTAGCCCTCCTGGCCAGTAAATAACATATATTTATACTACTCATTTCATCTTGTAAATGTAGAATATTGATTACTAGATGTAAAGAAAAAAGTTTAAAATGTTCATTTAAAAAGCTTGAGCCTGCATTTTATCTGTGGTGTATGTCCTCTCAATTTAAAAAAAGATAATGACAATGAAATGGAAAACATATAATTTCCCAAAACTTGATAACATGCATGATATTTACCTTCATGTGAAGGAGGGACTGAAAAAAAAAGCAGAAACACAACTGTCATTAGAAATTTTAAAGACTGGCTATGCTAGCAAACATCTAAGTGTAATGGTCTTGTTAAGTGTACATGTACATGTCATAGGCCCAATTTCACCATGTGATATTTATGTCCCACCTGTTCAGTCAATAGTTTGGGTTTGCTCACATTCCTTTCTGTTCTAGTTTGTCGTGTTATTTTTAATTCTTGTCATCCAATTAATATTATAATATTTTATCTTTTCATTTCTACATGTATAATAAGGAAGGAAAGCGATGGTTAGAAATAAAACGTAAAGAAAACTTGCAAGGAGGTGGGCGCTGCTAACGTGTTGTCTACGCAGGTTTGATTACCAGCACTCTGTATCGTATGCAAGTAGAGTTGCTTGTTGGTTCTCTCTTGTGCTTCAAGGTTGTTTTTTTTTTCAGATTCTCTGGTTTTCCTCTCTCCTTAAAATTCAAACTATTAAATTCCAATTTCAATTCATCGTTGGGTTTTCACCTACTGTGGCATTGAACTCAAGACTCTGAGATTGTCCAGTCACTGTGCTATAATAGCGATAGCTGGTAGATTAAAAAAAAAGTCATTCAAAAAATACCTTTTATCACTTCAAGTCTGTGTACATAATATGATGAGCAAATCCAATTTGTGATATTAATTGTCCAGTTACCAATATGTTCCTCATTAACCTCTTTTATTGTATAAGTACTCTCTGTTGAATTTTCAGAATGGACCATCTTCTTGTTGGGTAGGTACCAGACATGTGTGGGTACAGGAACTCCATCAGCTACACTTTTCAACTCAACATTTTTCTCATGAATATGAGCTTTTACAAACTTAGTAGAGCGAATTTCATTGAACTCCTCACAATCTAAGAAATATGAATGTAATAGGCAATAAAGGAGATTTTTAAAATACCGTAGGAGAAGAAGAAATGAACTGAAGGTCAGTTTTGGGGACCAATGGAACATTGTACAATTAAGGAGGCTTGAAACGGTTTTTCTTGAGCGCCGCGCTCTAGGTCCGATGACGTAGAACTTGCAAAAGGAAAGTTTTTGTACTCATAAATTTTAATGTTCAAACTAAAAAAATTAAAAACTCTGTGGTCAAATTTCTTTAAATTTTGCATATGGCTTTAGTTTATGTTTTCAAAAACTTAAGGAAAATTTTACAAAATTCTGTATGACGGAACTATTCCAAACAAATTTTATTGATTTTTACAAATTCCCTTTTACAGAATTTTTTCTCTTTTTGTCAAAAAGAAGATTACGATACAAAGTTTAAATATTCCGGTTTTTAAAAAATTTCACCATTTGGTTCCTGAGTTATGATTTTTTAAATAAACATTTTTGATGACATACCAAGGGTTCTGATGTTGACATAGCAACGTCTTACGTCATATTTTCATGTTCATTGTGATCTTCGGATTATGGTCTTTGGCTTTCCGGGTTTACTTGCTGTCATATTATAGCCATAATAATTTTATTTAGTTCATAATTGTGATTGTATGTGAAGGCACAAAACACTTTCCAGCCTCCTTAAATTACTAAGTTATTACCATGGTATTTTGAGCTGGGTAATTTTGCTCAGTTATACCAACAGAGCATTCTCCAATTCCCATTCCTTAATGAAAGCCTTGATTAATAATATTTTATACCCACTGAGACTATTTTAGTGTAGTGGTAGTTAAGGGCTTCTTAGGGATGGACCATATAATTATAATCAAAGATACAAGTGAATAATTATAAAAGGGTATTGTATGTGATATAAAAATTGTTTTGTTTTACATTTGTTTTATTTTTGCAACAATGCCAAAATAATATATAATTATTTATTTAAAAAGGAGAACTTTGTTATATAAAACTGTTATTAGTATGTTTGACCTTGGTATATCAAGGGACCAGGTAGTCAATGATTATTGGTTCTATATTATATTTATTATATCTTATCTTATTATATTTTGTATTCTCTATTTGTCATCAATAAACATTCCAGGTTGTATTTACGAACGTTTACCCTAGATTGTTGCAATGAAAAAGAAATATATACAAAGACAAGTTGTATTGGCTTTCATGTGAATGAGATGTGTGCCTTGAGATTTGTTATAAATGTTCTTAGTAAAAATACGCAGGTAATTATAGAAAATCTCACGCGCTGATTGGCCAAGAAACTCACACTATCACACGATAATCACCTTGAGCGAAAATCCAAAATGGCAGCCAGCCACTTTTTTGTTGCTGTTACCGGGAAAAAATGTCTTTTATATTCTTTTTTTTTTTGTTGAAAGAATCCCCTGTGTATTTATACTAAAACAATTATTTGCCTCAGGCTCAGTGATTATTGGGGAATATCAACCTCACCGCTCGAAGACTCACGTCTCAGTAAATATTCCTTGATAATAACTTTGCCTTCGGTGAATAATTGTTAAATATATTATCATACATGTATATTATAAGCTTCTTGCATGAATTCTTTTTCTTTTTTTTTTTTTCTTTTCTGGCACTCTTCTTATGCATGGTTTTTTTCACTCTTTAAAGCTGTGCTCAATTTTTTTTGGGTTTTTTGCCCAATTTAATCGCCCCATTCCCCCCCCCCCCCCCCAAATCTAATGGTCTGTGCCTTAATTAGGTCCCCTGGTCCTTTCTTCTTCATAACATACTTCTGATTAGCAGGGTAATTACCTCAGTCTATGTGTACATAAATTTGAGAAAAAAAGGTAAAGCTATTAGTATCTATGAAAAAGAACACTTACACTGTACGATAACATTTGTTTGATTTTTCACTGGCTGTTCCGTCGGGTTGTTTATAGCAAGACACTCATATATTCCGCCTTGGTTCCTTTTTATATTGTAAATCTTTAACACAGCACTTCCATTTATTCCAAAGGCTAATTCCTTAGTGTTTCCACTCCTTATCCATGTGACATTTGGTGCTGGTGGACCAATAGCCAAGCAGATCGCAGTCAAATTATCATTTTCCAAAATTTTCAGCTCAACATTTAAACTTATCTGTGGAGTAACTAAAAAACAAAATTAGTCGTAATGGTTTCTAAGTGTACAAATAAAATATTTGCTGGCATTGTCTAACAGCTTTTCCCAGGTTGTACCCTCTAAATCTTGAATACCCAAGACCCAAGACCTTGACAAGATCTTTCCAAGATCCAAAACAGAGAAAATTTTGAGGATTGGTTTCAAAGTATTTCTTAAAATTTTAATCATGATGATGATTATTATCACCACCACCACCATCATCATCATTGTTATTATTTTGGGGAGAATTTTGTTTGCTTTTTGTTATTTGGATATTATTTTTAGGCTACAAGGTATGCAGAGTACAAGCTTTTAAATTAAAATACCTGAAACAATAAGCTCCATTCTTGATTTTTTAGGTGATGAGAGAGAAAGAGTGCATTCATATATTCCATTATCTGCAGTGGTTACATCTGTGATAACCAGAGTAGCCACAGATGTCTTATGCACCCGTTCTTTAGGATACAACAATCTGGGGGGACAAGTATCACGTGTGACTTCCCATGCCCAGGCATTGGCTCTGTTTTCATGGCCTATTATGAACTCATGATTAGTTGAGTTATAAAAACTCCATATCGGGGAAAGGCTATTAAAATCTCGTACTCTGTTATCAACTGTGTAATCCCACTCAAAATATGCAGTTGTTCCATTTTGCACGAGAATGACACTTTTAAGATCTGGCTTAAATCGGCCATCACCTGTTGGCATACATATAAATCAAAAGATGTCATAAAATTAGTACAGTGTATATTAGATTCAAGCTTTGATCTAATCTATAACTGAATAGATTGGGATACATTTTCTGAGAGAATTAATTTTCCAACCACATCGCTGAGAAATAGCTTGAAAATATTTATCTCTTAATTTACTGCAATTTTCATAAACAAGCAAACTCTGTGTCTGTGAGCTACAACCTGAAATTTGGTTTTTTCAATGCCGTCAATCAAACCTAATCAGTTGGTACCTTTCATAGTTTTGACTGGCGGCAGCAAAAATCCAGATTTCAGGGTGCAGCTCTCAGACACAGAGTTCTACGGTGGCTTATAAGGGATATAAGATGATTTTCTCAAATTGTAAGATAATTTTTCCTTAAACCATAAGATATTTTTTCCTTAAATAGTGAGATAATTTTTCTTAAACTATGAGATAATTTTTTAAATAGTGAGATACTTTTTCTTAAACTATAAGATAATGTCTTAAATTAGTCACATAATTTTTCTTAAATAGTGAGATAAACGGGGCTGCATGTGATCCCTCAAGGTAATCCAGGTGGTTGATGATAAACACTTGGTAGATTGAACGACTATCCCAGTTAGGGCTTTCTTATTTTGATATACTCTATATTATAATCACCACCTAACTGCTGCATCGCATGAGCTCATGTTTTGTAAAGTTGCCTTCACTCACAACACTATTGTTCTTGATTCAATGTACATACAATGTACTTTATCATTTACTGTAGCATTGCTACCTATCCTATACAATAAAATAATCACAGTCAAGATGGGTGCTGCTAAAAAATGCATAGTTACAATAGAAATTTGGACTTCCTGTGGCCCTAAGAAAAGCTGCCGGGCTGCCATTGTCGGCTAAGATTCATTCAGAGGGCTTCTGGAAATGAATACCGTGAAAAAGAGATCTATATTTCGATGAAATTAAGGGGAACAAAGGTAGGCCATAGGTAGGGCCATGGCCCGATCCAGGTTTTCGGCACACCCTTAATAAAGCGACGACGTTCCTCGCCCTGAGTTAGTGGGTTCGTTTGAAATATTCGAGCAACATAAGTAAATTCTATTGAAAATGAAACTTCTCTTTAGCTTATGTGATCACACTATAACAAAAAGAAGTCGAAGCCTTTCTTTTCTTACCAGCAACGATGGCGGTTTTTAGTAATAACACGATGAAGAATAGCAAGGTTCTACATTGACATATTGCAGGCCTTCTTTTCATGAACATCGTAAAAAGTATCTTCGATTACTTGTCTATAACTGAAAAATATCTAGGGATGGAACTTAGTGCTTGACTTCCTTGAAGAAACAAACCGACAACGATTTAAAATCAGCTATAAAGTTATGAAAGATGCTCGAAAACATCCAGTCCCTGCGCCAACCCTGCGCCTTGTTCAACCTCGTCCCCAGGGCCCTCTCGGCCGACTCCAATTCAAAGCCCGTGTTAATTCTTGTCAGCACCAACTATGCGAGCTTCTTGCGTACCCAGAGAAACAAATGGCCAAGTTGCTGTGGTCTTGCAAAATAAAGGAAATTTGTGTTAGCTACTTGTGAGTGGATTCTTGCTGACCGGTTACAGCGAAGGCTCTAAGAGAAAATATCAGTCTATCAGCATCACAGGAGATTTTTAATTTTTGTGTTTTTACAATGTTTTGGCATATGCTTCTCTCTGTTATAGCGTTAGTGATGGGTGAAAAAGGTAATATATGAGTTAGGCCCCGGTTGGGCTGTAGCTCGAAGAATATGCCGAACGAGGCTTCATAAATACGAATAAATATACGCTTAATATAGATATTTAGATACGACTACAGCACAGTACAATTTTTTTTAAAGATTGGCATTATCATTTCTAGTCGTTGTATATGAAGATTGAAACTTTAGATTGCAAAAGATGGGAAATGGACTAGGATTTAATACAACGCACTCACGACCGATTTTAAAATCGTTCTCGTACTTGTAGTCGGATCTAAAGGTCTCCAATATGCGCTAGAGCTATGCATCTGAATTTTTTAGCCTAGCTTATATATGCAATCATCGAGGAACGATAAAAATATGTAACCCAATTTTGTTTTATGTTTACAGTTTTGTCAATATCCAGTCCTAGTCAACTCACAAGAGAAGTGGGACAAGATGTGGTGTTCATGATTAATAGTACAGCAATGTCGGAAGCCACATGGGGAGTACGAGATGGTGATACAAATTACTTGAATCCAAGACTTTACCGCGTATTAAGCTCCTTTGGTGAATTTCCTGACACCAAAATTAATTCAACCAGTTATGCAGGAAGAGTCAGTTTCGTAGGTAATCTGTCAAAGGGTCATGCTTGGTTCAAGATCTCAAACCTTAACATCAGTGATACCAATCAGTACATGGCACTGATCATGCTACAAGGAGAAAAGAGTTACAGATATATTGCTACAAAACTGGATGTAATACAACCAGGTACTATATTGATGCCCTATTTAGACTTCTGCTTTAAATAAAAAGAATATCAAAATATTGCCAGGTTTGATCCCTGCTAGCAGAGCCTATTTTCCTTTTGTTTTGGAGGAAGAAAAGGAGGCTCTGCCAAAGCAGGCCCGTAGCTAGGATTTTTGTTGGGGGGGTGCTAATTTACAAAACGTGGACCAACCATATACTTTATTTTTTTAAAGTCCCATAGGACGCATAGGTGTAGATAAATTATTAAAGTAAAATCGATTTTTTTACTTAGTTTTACGTGAAAATATCATACCAGCCAAAATCTCACTTGCTTAAAAAGCGGACCTTTAGCTCGCGTGTGGGGGTGCGAACGCACCCCCTGCACCCCCCCTAGCTACGGGCCTGCAAAGTAGGACATTTCCTTTCATACACCGCCATCCAGGATCGTGGACGCCAGCCTGCACGGCAAGTATAACATCCTATATCTGCAGTACTTATTTTTCTCCCTCCAAAACAAAAGGAAAATAGGCTCTGCTAGCTCTGCTAGTCCGATGAAGGACTAGCATCCGAAACGTCAGTAAGTTTTTTCATCTTTTCACGGTGTATAATTTACCTTTTCATCATTACTGTAGCAGGGAAATTGCGTGGTGGTGAGGGAGTGAGGTTGGAGGGCAAGGGGAATATTTTACATAAATTACCATTTCATCCATATTGTACTTTTCAAATTTAATATAATTCTCAACAGAAAACGTTTAAGACAGGGCTGTAGGCAAACACCTGTCAATCAATAAAACAGTTGATAGATAGATAATTTGTAACACCGYATGGTATGTAAAAATGAAACTGACGTTTCGGACGTTAGTCCTTCATCGGAGTGTCAATCAATTATGTATTTTATCTAAGATATCTGTTTTAACATCTTATAATGCAGTGAATGACTACAATATTATGCATGGCTATAACTTATTGGGGAATTGCGATGACCCTATCCCCACTTTAAGCCAAGGAATTGTCTCAAAATCATTTTCAGGAAAGAAAATAGCATCTTGACAATATTAGTTTGAAGACTGTTTACTTTTCTGGAATTTTACTGATGTACTGTATAGCTTGCTCTTTATTATTCCAGTCTTATTACCTGGGAGCTATGTAGGGGGCTTGGCTGAAAGTATTTTGAATAAAAGCAACAATTGGAATTCTGCTATCCCATGTAAACTGTTAATTTTAAATTTGGAAACATTTTGTTTGTTTGTTTGTTTTTTGTTGCTGCTGTTTTTGTTTGTTTTTTCTCTCTCTCTCTCCTCTCTCTCTCTCTCTCTCTCTTATGTGGGGGAGGTAGTCCCCTGTGATGACCCTAACAATGTCTTCTGCATAGAAGGCTGTTAGGAAAGGGGAAGTGCATGGTGGGACCTTTAATAACTGAATGAAGGAACTGCACACTTCATTTATTATAATGTTACTATTTTTTCATTATTAATTTAGTCGTAATGTATGATGGAAGCAGGCATGATTACCATATTCATTTTGTTTCAACTGAGGATTTTTTCTCTAGTGTGCCATGCTATTGTTCTCCAAAATAAAGATACAATCATTACCTTTATGGATGGGAGGGAGGGGCAAATCTGAAGGGTCATAAAATTGGATTAGACAGAAGGGTGATAAGAACAGCCCAGTATTAAGAGCATGTTAATACAAGGCAAGATGGATTCACAATAAATGGAAATTTTTTTTACAGTTCCCACTACAGCTACCATTACAGTTCCAACTGCAAGTTCATCACCAACGGGCATCATAACACAGGGCCAAACTGCTTTTCCATCAACTGAACCACCAAGTAAGTTTCTTTTTGTTACCCAATATTTTGGTGAGCAATAACTTGCAATAACCTCTCTAAGAAGTACATTTCAAACAAATTATAAATTAATAGAGATTTATTGAGGATTTTTTCTTTCATTTCAGTCCTAAAAAACCTAACTACATCTCTCAAAGTTAAAAGAGAATTTTCGAAAAGCATGGAGGATAGCAATTCTTTATCTTTCAGGAATTTTGCCAAGGAATTCCAGACTGCGGTAGGTAATCCTTATTTTTATAGCTATTACAAAAATTTAATGCTGTTCAAGCTTTTAAGCATTGATGGGCTAATAATATTGTAGAGTAAAAACACCAAAGCATTCAATAGTTTGTGCTATTTAGTTAAATTAGCACTATTTAGTACTTCTTAGGCTGCATGCTTTACTTGTACTAGTACTTATTAAAAAAAAGAAAAGAAATTAAATTTAAAAAAAGTTACCAATGCATATTATATATCTGTGAAAAAAAGTAAACTTACTAACAAAATTGTACACAGTAGTGGAAAGTTTTGTTATAGGTCTATGGCTTAAGACCCCAGTGGTCCCAGGGTAAGCTGGGATACCTGGATATCTGGAGGACCTGGTTTCAACATGCAACGAGGATTTAGTTGTTTGGGCTTCCAAAAATACTGATAAAGTATTTCGTGACATCTCAAAGTAATGATAAACCAGACCCTGGTTGGGATGGTTTACTAGTATCAGAGTCTCTAAGAATCTAAAGCAGAAGTAAAAATAAGTTGCAAAATTTCGAATGACAGTGTTAAAAGCCGTTTTCAGGCAGAGCGTTTATGCCATACTCATCAAAAATCTCAATCTGGAACTCCAATTCCAGTTACAGGATCCAGATTTTGGCATACGTAATTAGCTTGTTGTTATGCAACGTCTCAAAAGCATGGACATTCGCACGGCTCGCTTTAAAATTCAAATGCTTCAGGTAAAATGTTAATGCATGAGTCATTTGAAAGCCCTGCACCCCCCCCCCCCCCCCCCCCCCCCTTCCCCTTCAGGCATTACCGGGGCATTCACTTTTTGGTCCACTGAAAACCAGTGAACACCTTAGTCTCTGGGGACAATGTGAGAGGTGAATACCCTGGTCCCCAAGGAAACAATTTAATAGATGTTAATGTCCCTGGTCTTGAATTTACAGTGAATTACACTATACGATGAACAAAGACAAATTTATTTTATGAATTTTATAGGCCATTTTAATCACAGGAAGCCCATACAAGCTTTGACAGCTGAATGTAATCTAACGAAAAAAATAAAAAATGAAAAATGAAAGCTAATATTTACTCACATAAAGTGTTGTTTACGTCATCCTAGTTCTTTAGTAGTGATTTTGAGCCATGTTAGCGATTTGTTAAAGAATTTTCCCTTCCCCGTTGTACAACTAATGCACGATTCAGCGTTATACAACAGGGAAGGAAATTATTTTTTAAAATGGCTAAAATGAATAGAAACCACTACTAAAGCACCAGGGTGACGTAAACAACACTTCATGTGAGTAAATATTAGCTTTTATTTATTTCATTTATTATTTGTTTTGTTAAATTACATTCAGCTCTCAAAGCTTCTGTGAGCTTCTTGTGTTTTAACACAAGACCAAAATCGTACACAACTTGTAAGTATTGACATGTTCATGCAAAGCAGTGAAAAGAAGCGTATCTCCCTCCTACCAGAGCGCTCAAATACAGTGAATTCCTTGCGAGCGCTCCGGTTTGGCCCCGGCAATGCCCGAAGGGGAAGGGTGGGGGGGTTTGCGGGGCTTTCACATGACTCATGCATTATACAGGCTAATATTTGCTCAAAACCTCTCTCCTAATTGCTTTACATTTTATAATTTTATAATCTATCGATATTTTTTAATGAATCGCCATTTTTTTGAAGAAAAGTCAAAGGAAATTGTATACGCTTCGAACGGCAAAGATCAAACGTCCCTGGAATGTGCGTAGAAAATTATTTATTTTGCTTCTTAAATCAAATAGAATCTTAAAATAAATATTGCTATGTACCTCATGTTCCTTTGTGAGTAGACTTTGAAGTCAAAACAGTGAATATAAATACATAAATAGAGGCTATATATAAGACTATATATATTGTCAAGTTTAAGAGAATAACGAGTCATAATGAATAATGAAATGGTTTACTATGGCTTATCGTAATTCTGACTCTTGAAAGCCTGTTCTCCTCATCATTCTTCGCTTGTTCGTGCAGAAGATACTGCTCGAGTAGATGAATCATGAATAGATAAACCAAAACAAACTTTTTCCCATGAAGTTCATTGGAAAAATCATTGCGCTATCTTCTCGGTTTGAAATTAATTAATTAGTATTTCTAGTTCGGCTGTCTTGAATTATGGCGGTCAACGAAATAGAGCATGCGTAGACATAAACCTGTGCCATGTGATCTGCTAGCTCCGCTCTCTCTTAATCACTTGACAACATAGTGACATTGATTGACATCTGGTACATGATAATTGATTGGACTTATAGACGGGAACCCTATAGCAGATACCCGCAAAGGTCTCTTGGGTAAGTTCCTGAAGACCCCTGGGTAACTATTGCGCAACTTTGACATTTTGTCGAGGAGGAAAAATACAAAAATAAAACAAAGGCATTTTATAGCTGGTATACCACAGGTATCCCAGCAATTAATGAGCTTGCAAATTTGTGCAATTTCTTTAAAGGGGTGCTTGGATGAAAACACCCGATTTTTGAAAGTCCAAATAAGTGAAGTATTTCAGGATAACATGACTCAATTACAATTATGTAAATCAGTGAAAAATTTAGCCTGGATGCCACTTGCTGTTGAGATATTTTTAGTTAAAAGCAAAAAGAACAATAGGGTTGAGTAAATGACGTCAKTTACTCACAATTTAGATACTGGGTGAATAAAATTGATATTTTTTCCCCGCTACTTTTGACTGTGAAGGAAACATGTTGCTTGGCTACTATCTGGACCATATAGATAAGTTTAAACAGGTTTCAAGTCATTTCCAATTTTCATTGATTTTCACCCAAGTGCCCCTTAAATGATTTTTTTTTTTACATATATATTAAATATATGTATTATAGACCAAAAAAATTGATGATAACTTAAAACAATAACTTTATTGTTATGTTATTCCTTTTTCTGGTTAGATTGAACAGGCCTATAAAAATGATAGCAACTTCCATTACTTTGGTAGTGTAAGAGTCATTAGTCTCAGGTACGTCAAACATACATGCATGACTTCTAATAGCACCTGGTTAGTTTTATTGAAGAAGCTAATCATAGTAAGCAAGTTAAAAGTCTTCTTCCCTTTCTTAACCAGCTGAGCGGTGAATTACAGCCAATTACGACGCATTTTGCTGTTTTGCAGTCGGCCCTTATTCCCAGGATTTTTCTGTTTTCTTTTAACTAAAATATGATGTACATACCTACAAGAAGCAGAAATATTGAAAGGAAGAAAAATGAATTTGCTTTACTGCAGCCATGTTTGCTTTGTTATTTCAATCTCTAATAATTCTATTAGGCCAGTCATTTTGTCCACTCTTGCTTTGAGCACTGTGTTCACCACTCAGCTGGAAAGGCTCATATGTAATATATTTTTGACCAGGTCCCTCTAGGCTTTCAATGAATAAAATATTTGAGATATAAGATGTGTGCTGATTGGCTGGCTATGATGTTTCCAGTGTATCAGAAGGCAGAGAGATGCTCATTCAAATTTTTAGAAAAAATTATAAAAGCAATATAAAATGTCTGCTTATAAATGCCTCTGTTTCGTGGTATAAATACTATGTGAGCTGTAGAACACTCTAAGAGCAAGAGAAACACTCAGCCTCATTTTCTTAAGATTGCTTTTCTCATACTATTACTCACAGTGCTATTATTAAGCTCCGCAACATGTTTATATCATATGGTACAGAGACATACGTGCACTTTTTATATTTCTTATTAAATAGATTTAATTGAACTAGATGTTTTATGTCATTTAATGCATTTTGTTTGTTTGTTTGTTTGGTTTTTTTTTTCATATTTAGGGAAGGTAGCATCAATGTCACTTTCATTGTCTTTTTCACAAGTGGGATAAAACGTGACAGTGCTTGTGCTCCTCTTGAAAATGCAATAAAAGATGGCAACCTTGGTAACTTTGAAATTGTCCCTGGCTCATTAGGGTGCTCTGATCCAAAGAGTAAGTATAAAAACAGTTATGAGATCTCTTTCATATGGATAACTGGTCATCTATTGATACCAGTATTTTATAATAGAGTGCAAACAATATAACCATGAAACTTTAGTAATACTAAATAGCACAATTTCATGCAAATTTTATTGTTTTCTATTGTTTACTTAGCACGATTTTGTACTATTTAGTAATTAGTGTTTCATGGATTAATTATTTGCACTCTACTGAAGGATTTCCCAGTATAAATAAAGTTTATTATTATTAGTAGTAGTATATGTAATAGGACTCCATGATGTCCTATTATTGGACGAAATAATTGGACGAGGAAAATTCTGAGTACTTCCAAAATTGGATGAGGCCGTAGGCCGACTCCAATTTCGCAGTCAGAGGAATTTTTCGAGTCTAATTATTTCTTGATYGGGGAGCATGAAATCCCATTACCTATTAATTATATAGCTGCYTAATTAATCCCATATCAACAAGACCTGTCCAATTAAGAAAATWATTGGAAAGTTACCTATATGGGATTAATGAGAAGCTGTATAATAATTATTATTATTATTATTATTATTATTATTATTATTATTTTCTTTATGGCAAAACATGCAGAGATTTTTTCAATCAAGACTTCCTTTACCATCTGAAATCTTGGGAGAACTTAAGAACAATGAATATTAAAAATATGGATTGCATAATACCAGCTCAATTAGACAAGACATCATAAATCAAAATTGGAGCTTTTATGGATTTCTGAGATTCTGGCGTATTTGGCCTGGTTTTCATGTTTCTTTCACAAATCAAAAGCCTTGCAATTCTTAAAGGATTTTTCATATCTTTCTTCAATTCTGTTTTCATAGACATTCTTTGATATGAAAAACCAATATGTCATGATTCCTTAGAATTTAGATCTTAATGTCTTAAATGTAATAATTCATTTAGCTTGGCTACTCGTATACAGCTATTTTATTGTAAAAAAAGTTGGTGAAGGTTTTGTTATATGTTGCATGTTGGATGTCACTTGCTAAGCTAGAAGTGTATTATATTCATATTATGTAAATTATATGAGCACAGATGAAAATATGCTGGAAAAAATTGCAGACAATTCTTTGTTAAATTTCGTATTGTTGCAACCTTTTTCTGTGAATTTTACATTGCCCATAGTATTCAACATCTAACATTTTTACTTAGGGATTTATAATTTTTGTTTTTGAACAATTTTCTTCGGGTACAATTATTAATATTGAATTTCCTTTACTTTGGCCCACAGCACTGCACAGTAATTGTCTAACACTGTTGCTTATAACTCTTAACTTTTTAGTCAGATGAAGCTTACAAATTAAATCATTAAAGTATGATAATGATTGTGGCGAATAAAAGCAATTACTGGAAGATAACAGGTTACTGAATCCAAAGAGTGTATTATTGCATAGGCATATTGTTTAACAGGTCATATAAAAATGGTATAAATCTGTTTTGGTCACAGCATCTACCCCCCGTCCACCAGCTTCTACAACTGGCGTGCATCCTGGAATAATTGCTGGTGTTGTAATTGTTGGAGTCCTTGCTATTGCTGGTCTGGTCATAGCTATATTATTCGTGTGCCGCAAAAAGTCATCCAAGAAAGGTAATCAAAACTAAGCAAATACTACTTCTTCTTTAGGGGCTAAGAGTTGAATATGTAGCCATTTTCGTCTTTTTGCGATCCATACATATTTCAGGCATCTTCTGGTTTAGCCTCCATCATTTTTTTTTATAAATTGACGATTCTTAAAGCTTCAGTGTATGCGAGCTTAGCCTCGAATCCAGGAGTTGCTTCTTTTGTTATTCTAATTTCTGCTTTTGTTTACCGAACTCAGAAGTGAGGCTAAGCCGCATATACACTGGAGTTTTAAGAGTCGTCAATATTGCGTAACTGATGGAATTAAAAAACCTGAAAACATATGTTGTATTGTTGGGTGCAGAAATGCGAACCGGTCGTAAAAATATGTCGTTTGTAGGACATATTTATGCCGTCTTTGTTCCGACTGAAACTTCGTATGCTGTCTCCAATACTCACCCTCGTATAGCGTTAACATTGCTTGGAATTTAACAATTGAATAAGTAAGAAACTTATACACAGTGTAAAATATATGGAAACTAACGCCAGGAAAATGGCAAACGTTTTTACGGTGGTGAGCTTCCTCGTTGTTCACTTGTTTCATTGAACACACCCACGCAGTCCCAACTAGTTACTGCTAGTGATTATCAAAACCTTTAATCGAACCATGAAACAAACTCTGTTCTGAAAAAGACCATGGTAAGGCTATATAAAACTTATAACTAATAACACCCTGAAGTGGAGATACAGTAGAGAAAAACCGAATAGCCCATACAAAAACCCTCAAATTGAGGGAGATCCCTAACAAACTTTACTCACATATGATGCCGAGTCCAGGAATCGAACCTATGACCCTAGAGGTGAGAGATGAGTGTCCCACTGCTATGCCGCTCTTGATTCCCAGCAGTTGCTTAAAATTTACTAAATTTAGTTTGATATGCAATAGTTACTGAAAACCTAATCTGTCTTTTTTTAGCTTATCGCAGTTCCACAGGACCAGCACCGGGGTAAGTATGTAATTCAATATGTTTTTCTCGTGCTGTCACACGATTAATGCTCAATTGGTTTATTTAACTTAATGAATTTGCCGTTCTCTCTTTTCGTTTCCTTTTTCCCCAGTTTCCTCTTCGTTTCTTTTTCCTTTCTTTTTACTCTTTTTCTGTGTGTGTGTCTTTCTTACAAGTCTCTTTTTCTCGTTTATTTTCTTTTACGCTACTCCACTCCACTCCACTCCACTCCACTCCACTCCACTCCACTCCACTCCACTCTACTCTACTCTACAGCTGTACTCTACTCTATGACTTCTGCTGTGCTGTGCTTTGCTCTGTTCTGTTCTCCTTTGCTTCACAACTCTCCTTTTTCAGTTTCCTTTTCTTTTTTCATCGTCATGTACATGTATTTACTCTCTTGCTGGTCTTTCTTACTATTTGATATCATTTTTAGATATGAAATGGATGCAAGACACGGCGAACCAGAGGAGCAGTATGCCAGTGTACAAAAACCGGGTGCTTCAGTTCCCAAACAGTCGGGTGACCAATCATTACCCCAGTACGCCGTAGTTGACAAAAGCAAGAAAAACAAGAACAAACCTAGGGTATGTCAAAATTGAGTTCAACAGGGTGATCCATCAACAGTTCACCCTGGATCTTAGTTGCCTAAGTCATCATTAGAGAAACGTACTGTACTGTACTGTAGTGTAGTGCACTGTAGTGAGCTATTGTTTAAAAATGAATTGACACGAACTATGCGAAAAAAAATCAGCAGCACTTTGTGGAATCACATGTATATGCACTGAAAATCTTTTTTCCCAATCCAGAATCTGACCAGTTTTCTTATGATTACCATTCATTATATTATTGACTTCATAATATTCCCATTTGTTAGGAGTCTGACGAGCTTGTCTATGCAGTATTGGATCATGATCACAATGCAAGCATGAGTTCAAGGCCACCATCAGACCGACGTTCAACTGGTGCAACTGGCGATACAGTTTATGCAGACATTCAAAGTGAGAAAAAGAAACAGCGCTACCCGCCACCACAATATGGTAACATACAGGATAACAGCTATGCTTGAAGGTTAACGACTCTATATATCTACTTATGTAGAAGGGCTTAACAAATAGGCAACCTGCAACTTGGCCTGCAGTTTTGCAGGAAAAATAAGCAGGATGGTTGTTAGCAATGTCTCGAAATTGTTTTTTTTTTTCTTTGGCTTTTTGTTTTTGTTTTTGTTTTGTTTTGTTTTGTTTTGTTTTGTTTTTTTTGGCAAATAGTTTTTGCAATTGTTTTTTTGTAAGTATAGATCGATTTATCATATTTTTGAATGATTGTAGCAGCAATGTCGGACATTGTAAATTGTTACAGCAACTTAAAGCATTAGCATTACTTCTGGCTTCTTGCAAGGTATTGATGTTTTCATGATTGAACCAGCAAAGTGCATTTTATATGTTAGAATCATGATCAAACAATAATATCTAATGCAAGATAAACATTTTCAATGCACAAACACAAACTAGACCACATTTCTTTGTTAGAATGCCTAATTGCARTACTGTGACCTTTTTTAATTGAACCTGCATTGCCACTTATTGCTGTTACATCCAAATTTATAAATCAAGTGGCACTGCATATCTTTCCCTGCTTTTGCAGTCAACCACTTTATACAGTAAGATAGTTTTCTTAAATTAAGACAAAGAGAATGCAAGCAGGCCTAACTTCATTGGCATTTCTTGAATTCGTTAACATGATGCATTGTGGTCTAGCTGGGGTAGAAACAACACCATATAAGGCATGATGAACAAAAAGATGTTCATACCCAAACTGAAACACAATGCACCTTGTTCGCTATCACCCTCATTAAAGAAATATTGCAAATAATCACATTATTTGATCAAAAGAAGTTTGCATCCAAGATAGACCAGAATGCACTTTGCTTATTCCAGGAAACAGTGGGACTGCGGCATTTTTGTTATTAAGCAATTGGATCAGAAGCTGAATTGCAAGACTGAGTTTCTAATGCGAGTGTAATTGTAGTGCAATCCATAAACTAAATGGCTTGCAAGTAATAGGGTCTAATTGTTCTAGACATTGATATTAATACTAAAAGGGCATAGTAGCTTTCCGCTTAGTGGCAATTTTCATATAACTCAACTAAGCCGGCTAGTTGAATTTCCTAAGTCAAACATTTAAAAAATGCATGCACTACCATTTTGAAGAAATCAAGAAAGTAATTTGCTATGCATTAGATCATGATTTTGATTCATAGGAAAATTATATTTTTAAAACGCTTTGACAGTGGATTTTTAGTATATACAAAATGACCAAAAAAAATAAGACAACGATTCTAAATGTTTCTTCATAACGAACATTTAATAGCCTATAGGTATACTCTCCTCTTTAATTCAGTTACGTCCAGCTCACTCTTAACACTTACTAGGCACTCTATTGAAAGATATGTAGGAATATTAAACTTCCGCTTTCAGAGTATGGTCCCTGAAGGGAAAGGGGACATCCAAGACCACTTGGTCCCATATTGAGTATGTCATTATGAATAATTAGATTTGCAGATGTTTTGGCTTGTTGACGTTTTTCCTAGAAGTCTCTAGTCAACGGATTCCAAATATAGATTGTGATTCATGGAAATGGAATCTATCAATGTCATGTGGAAGTAAACACCTTTTTCTATTACTTCTTTTATGATTAATGGATCGAAAGTGTCGAAGATTATGACATACAATATTAGATATTGTGAAAAAAATTAAGGTTACTCGAATGTTTTGTACCATCCGCTTTTCTTTGATGTCTGTTTTTTATGTAAATGTCTATTGATGCTTGATGGGATCCAAAACCTGGTGGTGCAGAATGTAAACATCTAGTGTCAACAAAACCTAACTCACGTTATTATCATTCCTTCTTTTTGATTACAATAAACTTGCCAAAACGTGTATTAAGCCTACATAATATCCTTGGAATAACTTCTGATATCTCATGTCCAAACACACTTACACACACTTACTTGCCAAAACGTGTATTAAGCCTACATAATATCCTTGGAATAACTTCTGATATCTCATGTCCAAAGGTTAAAATACACAAGACTGATAACTTGGTGAAATTTGAATTCAGTTAATAGTATTAATGACGTAACCTCTATAACATTGTCAGMCAGTTCTTGGAAAGTTGGGCATCAATATTTAATAGTCGTTTTCCCAACTGCTTCTCTGTCTACGCTTATTTTTGAGATTAAAACCATCCTTGTGCTTCAAGATATGATAGAAAATGTTTTTTATCTGTAATACTAACTTTCTATTCAWAGAAAAGTCGAAATAGGACGCCAAATTCAGACCTTGGACCATTACATCAGCAAAACAAAATTACCATATCTGTCTTTATTCAGCTCGTTTTGCTGAAATGAGGTTAAAGTTGAAGTGCTTAAAATGAAAACATTTTTGTTATTCAGACTCTTCTAGAGAGGTGTCACGCTAGAATGGTAGATTTTAATCATGTTTTTGTTTGGTTTAATAATTTTCTCATGGTTTCAAAGTGAACTTTCTCTGTGTGTTTCTTATGATAGTAACTTAGGTATTTGAAATATAAATGCACGGCTAACTTCCTCATTCTTCCTCTAATAATTTGATCCGTACTCTTGTTTTAACAAAACAATTTAGTACGCAAATAAAACTTGGGATTAAGATAATTTAGTTCCCGTAGCGACGTAGAATTTATAAAATTCTTTTCAATATCAATAATTTGTGCGAGTAAGTTAATTATGGCAAATAATTTTTAAAAATAGAAAAATAATATTTTTATAAAGTCACCCTAAAATTCAAGATTGGTATTCTTTATGAATTTATATTAACACACCAGTAAATTGGTTGGCAGCCATTACACAATTGCAATAGTTTTGATAGTCAATACTTTATGTACTCATCATGGACTGTACAAAAATTATATTTCATATTTTTACTCGATTTTATCACATTACTGCTAAGAAGATAAACTAAATTGGATATAAACTAGATAAACTATTAGGCAGAAGTCTAAAAACAATATTAAAAAAGTTATATAAATGTGGGTGCTTCTATGCCTTAATATTGGTTTCAATATTGCAAAAATGCCATATAGGCACCCATTTCAACTCCATATATTTTTGTAGTCAAAGTCACATAGCAATCCAAATACCAATTCAAATTTACATTTTGATAGATAAGATACTCTTTATAGCCTTGTTAGTACTAYTTCATACCTTCTTAAAAGTGTATTTTAGGGATGAAATATTTTGTAAATTTCATTTTAATACATTGTAATACATGGGTGTTTTTACACTACATGCATATAACAGTTTTGTAAAGGTTTCATACTAGATAAAGTTAATAAAAGCAACTTCAAAAATTTGCATATGGGTTTCCTTGTCATTCCTGGGTTACGTGTGTGCGCTGGACTTCAGCTTGATGTGTGTAAAAACATCACAATTATTTTCCTTTGCGCCTTTAAATTTCATATGTGCGCATTAATAACAACATGCGAAAGTTTCCGAAATGTGACATTTTCCTTGACGGTTATGACTTGCAGCAGTGCGTATGGTTTCTACTTGATTGTGTGCGTAGGTATTCAATATCAGTGTGTCACGCAATCTCCATAATGTTCACTAGRCATAAACAGCCAAGTAAATAATATATATAATACAATAATATATTCATATCTACATCTCTATTATGCACTTATTAGGTGCTTCAACGATATTCGTTAACACTCGAGAGCATTCAAAACATCCTCTCCATTTTTAGATATGTTATTTCCCTTCATTGATTTTGGAGTTGGAACGGAAGTGCTTCCACGATGCGTCGTAAGTTCTGAGATGAATGCGGAAAAATCCAGCTTAAAAACAACCCAGCACATTACTGTATATAAAGCTATATCATCAAGTATATTATATAAGAATAAATAATATAAGAATATAATATAAGAATTTTTTTCGATTTATTTGGTTTCAGCAAAATATACCTTTAATTTGATTTAGAATATTTCAGTTTGAGCATGTAGAAAGAGTTTCAAGAGATGGGTTTAACGCAAGTTTAAACACAACTCCCTCAGTAACAAAGCACGCGGAAATTGGAAGCTATCCTTGCTGTTACCCATTCGTGACGAAGGGCCTCATGATGATCACGAGCTAGTTTTATCAATAGGTTACAGCATAATCCGTTTCAGAGGACTTTAACAACATCTTTCGAGTTTGATAAGTCGAGGCATGAAAGTGAAGTATTTATCTTTCATTTCCGCCTGATTGTTTCGTTTGCAGGGATTGGTATTAAACAATCCTTGATCGCTGCTTCGTTATCAAAAACATCATGAATATATTAAAGTATAAATTTTAATATTAAACATAATCTAATGGAATAAATTAAGATAGAACATGCTCGAAATTACTCGGAACTTCTTTCATGTTAAAGGGACAATATCTTACTATCAACGTAACAAATATAAGCTATTGAATGTATTGAAACTGCTCAATTGATTTTAGAATTAAGATGATAATTCGATGATACTGTATTTACTTAGCCTTATGCTGCGCGTAGTACAACTGGTGCGCACTAAATATGATGTGCGTAAGTTAAAATAATTGCTCTTTCTGCATTTACTGATAAGTAAAAAAACGAAGAAATATAGAACACGAATTTATAAAACATTTACATTTACCACGAAAAGTTTATTAAATATAACTCTTTTTGATGAGCAACCAGATTTGCGCATGCGCAGTATTTATTGAAATAGTTCCGAGATCAAAACTGTTACTACTGATTTACTAAATATCAAAAATGAATGACCGTGTTCACCTTATTGAAAATCACTATCACACAACATGAATATAGGTGCGTTCAGTTTGATTTGGTTTTGCGCACATTTTTTTATTTGCGCGATGCCCAATGATAGCAATGCGCACTTTTGCACAATTAGCTGCGCATTCACTTACCGCGCCTATTTTCCTTTTATTTTTTCTCGACTCYCGTTGTGCGCATTAGCCTTTCATGTTTTTATCTGACAAGGAATATGCATGAAAATTTTTGAAAAAAAACTGTTTATCTAATAGGCGAGCATTCTATAGCATTTATTTTTTTATAATATTATTTATAATATGCGCAAATAGCATTAAAGATGGTAGAATGCATATGTTATGTATACTTGGTAGAAATTGCGAAACTCT